GCTTTTCCATTTTCCTTAGCTGAGCACATTTCCATCAATCATTGTATAAAATACTATATGAAACTGTACGCTTCAAAGTGAGTTTCTTTATTGTGACAACCTCAAGCTAGCATGCACAACTGCTTTTCACTTTACCACGATTCCCTGCAGAGAGAGAGGATTCTCTCCAGCATAGGCACTGTAGAGGGCTATCCCATACCTTCTTCTAGGACTGCCACTGTAGGAAGGTTCCCTACAGCACATGGGGAAACACCTGTAAAAAGCTATCTGGAAGTGATTGTGTTTCGTCTCTATGGTTAAGCTCTTAAAATCTCATGAGTCCTCTTCTACCATCCTGTAATTTACCCTTTCCATTGTCTTTGAAGAATGTCAGAAGTAGCAGTTAGAGCTTTTAGACTCCATCCAGTTGTCAGAGGACATTAAAAGAAAAACACATTAACAAAAGGAAATAACTTGGCTGATATGGCTGCTTAAGACACAGCTATAATAGCCTCTCCTCCAGCAGCCTGGGAAATAGCTTAGGATAGGGGTAGTCGCAAGGGGTTATCAGCAATCAGAGAAGCAAAAGCAGAACAAACCCAGCAAATCCAAACAATGAAGAAATGGAACCATTGTTTAATTGTGCCTTAGACAGTGAATGCAGCACTGGAAATGTCTCCTAGTACTGCAAGGTATTCTGTGCATGGTCAGGGAGGAACGAACTATCTGGATGACACCAAGAAATATGAAAATATTGCATGGTAAATGGGATGGAAAAAAACTGCGAAAGCATATTAATTCTTGTCTGCTTTTTGCCAGCAAAACCAGTACATCCAGCTCAGAAGAGGAGTTCTGATGAGACAGCCTTCTAGGGAGCACATTCAGGTTGATTATACAGGGGAGACTACCCATCATCAGCTGAAGAGATGAGCAATGGATTATTTTTCAAGACAGGTAGATGCTTTTTCCTAGAAATAAGATTACTGCTTTTGAAGGAGACAAAACATTACTGTATCTTTTGATTTGCTCCTGGGGAATACTAAAAGTGATGGATTGAGGCAAGGGAGATAATATATTAAGAAAGGCAAGTGACAGAGTGAGTGTTGCTAGATGTTGATCAGAAATTTCCTATTTCACTAGAAGAGATTAAATGCAACAAAAGTAAAGTAGGGTGAGATATGGTCCAAATGAGGAACAGATTCAAATAAACCACATTAACTCTGTTAATGTGCTTTAATGTGGTTAACACTTCAGAGTTAATGTTGTCAGTGCTCCAGAAAAGGTTACATCTTTTCAGCAACTTGGAGAGCTGTATCTAAAGAAGTCTCTATGAGAGTAAAATCCTTGCATCAAAAAGCAGAAATAAATGTAACAAATTAACTATTTTCTGAATTCAAAGACTTTTGTTGGGTAGGCAAAAAAAGCTTTCAGCAAGTAAAGCCCCAAACAAATATGGTAACTGGTACCAGGAAAATCAAATGGTATTATGAATGAGAATAAATTCTTACAAAATTAGAAATCATTCAGGGATTCTGAAGCCTGTGTGAGCATTAGTATCTGCAGAGCTTTCAGTGACAAATGGGGCTGTCTTGGAGCTCTGCAGGGAGTTTATCTCACTGATAGTTCTACTAGATATGGACTTGAATTATCCTACAACTGTAAGCAACAGCTGAACAAACCAACTCTTCTAGCTGACCGGTGGTAAACCCAGTGTGGTCAAACATAGATGCTGGGAGTGCAGCTGAACCATCCTCCACTACTGATTTTTAGCTAGTCAACAGCTGAGCCTACAAGTATTTTGCTAAGCTCTATTTTCTGAATTTTGGCGGTCTCTACTTCTTGTTCTCAACTTTTGCCCCTGGATTGTATCTTGGCTGTCACTGGTGAGCTGGACTGTCCTCAGGGTGGTCACTCATAAACGTACACCAATACAAAAGCTGCCTTGTACATCTGGAGCACAGAGCCACTATGATATAGAAATTCACCACTACCTGCGAGTATTTTGCTATCCACAGTTATTTGCTGCTAAGCAATTTTGGGCATGTAGGTTGAATACTGATGGTGCTCTGGAAAAAGGGTGGAATACTACAGAGCAGGTGCGGTGTATGTGATCTAAAACTTGACAGGATTCATAACTTTTTTGTACATGGACACATGAAATTGGGGCAACCCAGAGAACCTATGTCCTGTCATGTGTATCTCCCTACTCTCCTAAATTGGTCTTAAAGGCTCTGAATGCCTGTTGTCATTTTAACCAGTGGTAACAGACTACTCCAGAAAAATTCTCCCTGCTGTGATTTTTATGAATTGTTGCCTGCTTATAAAATTAAAGATAAGCATTTATGGTATTAATCCATGATGTCTGACTAACATACATGGTTAAGTCCTCTTTGAGGAGCCAAAAGCTTCTTAACTCATACCTATGTTGTCTTAGGAGCTGGCAGACAAGACCTTTAAGACAAGGAAGGCTTGCAGGGGATGGCCAGCAAGATTTGCTTAGCTGATTACTGAGTGCCCTCACCTTTGTCATAGCTGTACAAGTTGCAGCTGGGGTTGAGTGAGTAGGAAGTTACAAAGAGTGGTTGTTGGGGTTGTGTTGTAGGCTTCTTTACAAGAAAGTAGGGTGGTTTTAGTATTCAAGTTTTCTGGATTAAATGCAGCATACTTGGTGAGCTGATAGCTTATTTCTCTGAATATTGTTCTAAATGCTGACTGCAAATGTGCTGGGCAGGGGTACTGGTGTTAGCACAGCACCTTGCTTCTCAGGCTGTGTGGTCTAACTATGATCTTTCTCCTTTGTGCTTTGTGTCTTTGTTACTGTCTAAAAATCTCGTAGCCCAAACAGCATAAGTGTACCAGCTGGGTGGGGGGGAATGACTTAATGTACTAGGAATTGTTATGTCTTTTAAATTTCCATCAGTCTTAAAAATAACGAGAAATTTTATTGAATAATCTCTGTATATTTTTAGCTGAAAATAATTTAACCCCATCTCCTCAAACTTGTATTTAGCTTAATCTTTATTGTCCTTTAAAAAACCCCTAAATGTAGTACAAGCAGTACAGCTCTGAATGGAGAGACAGGTTTGTTCAGCTTCCTGCATGCTGTAGAAAAACTTCTATTTACTGTTTTTCCTTCCTGACCACTCATTGACTTTGCTGGCTTTTAGGGCTTGAGATACTGTTTTCACAGGCTGGCATATCTGTCCCTAGGAATGAAGGAGCTGTAGGCAGGCCCTTGCTAGTTAATGTAAATGCCCAGCTCCTTGAACCATGCAGTTAAGTTCCCTCTGTCCTGAGCCTCTCTTCCAGAAAGGGGTTTGGAGGATGTTCTTGAGGCCTCTCTGTTCTTTTACTTCTGTTATTGAGAAACTTGCTCTGTGACTGAGCCAAGTTCCTAGAAATCTGAGTAACACTTTTTTCTTTCTCTCCCCCCCCCCGCCTTGTCGTTCAAGTTTCTCAGTGCTGGTCAGCTGTTATCAGTGAGATTCAATGGCTGAGTATTGCAGGGCTGATCCTAAGCTGGAACAGATCAGGAACTCTTACTGTTAGCTGCCCTTCTTTAACAGTAGCAAAGATAAAGAGTATTGTCTCATGTGCTGTGGGATGCTGTCTCCAGAAACAAGGGAAGGAAAGTCCTTGTTCCAACCACTTTGAAACTGCAGAGGAAGTCACACTAGTTTTTGTTAGCTGGCTGCACCAGGTATTTGAGACTGTAGTTATGTTGGTTTGCACTTGTCTTTTAGAGGACATGGCTTAATGCTGTGATTAATTTTAGGGCGTTAAAAGTGATGCCCAGTACCTAAAGAGGAAGGAGGTGTATGAGTTCAGTAATTGTACGTGTATTTCTATAGGCAATGCTAATGTAGGAAGACATACACTGTTTGGTCACTTCAAATCAAGAAGTTAAAAAAACAGAACAGAATAAAAAATCCCCCCTAAACAGCACAACCCTCAGAGGTACCTAGAAAGACATGACTGTTCTTTTTCAATAGACTGAAATTTTCTATATTCTGTGCCTGAATTCCATTTAGGAACCAGCAGAAAGCAGCTCTGCCTTGCAACAGTAGACACAGAGCACAAAGGAAATCTAGTATTTCCTTCTATTTCCTGTACTATATTCAAAGTTCACTGTAGCACTAGTGGCCTCTTGTAATTGGCCACAGAGGAAGCTACAGTGTCTCAGTGACTTGCTGATAGCTCTGTGTGATCGTCCTGTATTCAAATTCCATTGCTACAGCACGCTTCTGCAGATTACTTCTATGAAAAAGTACAAGTCTTAGCGAGGCTTCTGATTATTCAACTGAAATAATTGCTTATCTGTACATGAAAAGAGTTGTGGTTCAGTTTTTGAATAAAGTCCCCTCTCTGATCAATGACAGAATGCTTGCTTTCGCAGCAAAGGTATATGGTTTATGACTGAGGAGGTTGTCGCTGGAACAGGAGGAATTGAGGGAATGGATTGTGGCTTGATCATCCAAATGGCAAAATGGTGAGAGACTGGTATGCTGCCTTATTCTTGTGCTCACTGA